GTACATGTGCACATGTGTATGTGCATACATGTGGAGGCCAGAATTGACATTAAGGCTCTTCCTTAGTATCATCTAAGAAACCACTAACTAGTTGAAGGTCACAATAAGATCTACCTTATTTTTTGAGATGGATTCTCTCACTGAACCTGCTCGACTGGCTGGCCATCCAGTTCCAGGAATCATCCTGTTTCTGTCTCCCTGTCTCTGGGATTACTGTGACTCTTCACCGTTCTTTTCTTATGTGGGTGCTGGGGATTAACTCAGGTCCTCATGCTTGGACAGAAAGCACTGAGCCATCTCTGTAGCCATCTCTGTAGCCCCCTATTTTTAAGTTAGTATACCTAATGGGTTTCATTATGGCATTCACATCCTTATATACCACTGTTCGTTCTTATTCAACCCAGGGTTATTTTTAATGTTATAAATTGCTACAGAACAAGTGTCTGGCTTTGATGGGATTGAAAGTAGCTGCATATATTTCCAGCTTCTCTGACTATGAAAAATAAAAGGTGGAGTGATATCATTTTCTGTTGTTGATGCAGTGACTGTGAACGTGAGAATCAGATGGAAGGTTTTTTTTCCCCCCCTAAAAATTTGAAAAAATGTCTAGTCATTTCTACAAATGGCTTAAAAGCCTTGAGATTTTAGGAATATATATTTGTAATTATTCTCCTTTAATAATTAATGGCTAATATGTTTTAATCACTAAGAACACTGTTTTGATCATTAAGAATTTACAATGTAAAGACTATTTCAAGGTCAAACTTCAAATGTTAATTATTTTAACCTAATGCATGTAGCTCTATTGGATTCAGTTTAAAAATAAAAAGTAAATCATTAATTCGAAGTGGCATGCTTACTGGAAATCATCTTCTCTACTGTAGCTCAAGGTCATTTCTTTAATCAGACTTCGAAGTTAGAAGATACACAGTGATCAGAAAAATAATATCATTCTTTCTCTAAAAATTCAACTCTCACTGGAGACCTCTTTAGACGTTTTTTCTTCAGGGCTTTCATCTTTAATTATTACATTTTTTTTGGTTTGTTTTGAGGTCAAATTGTGTCATTGGGTACATGACTTTTAGAAATCACACACTGTATTTGCTGCTGGAAAACTTCTACTTGATATATGAAAATGCCACAAGTTATCTGGTGTCTCCCTTTTGGTCAAATGGGCAACTCTATGGCTTCAGCCCTTCAAGCCTTAGCTATTTTCTGCTCAGGGCTGAGTGGGGTATGATTTCAAGCATGGCACCCCCATGGTGGCTCCCTGGGTTTGAGTCCTAGTGCCCTGGTTATGAGTTCTGTGAAAGTTTATATCCCCTCCTCATCTATGAAGTGGGGCCCTTCAGAGCACCAAGGCCAGCCCTGTAGAAGTGACAGTGCCCATTGCTGTGCAGGGTCATCAGTTTAACTCATACTGCAGAGAAAATGCAATTCCTTTATTTTGGCTGCAGTTGATCTGGTTTTCCTCTGAGCTGAGCCCCCAGGTTACTGGGTAATATGTAGCTTCTGTCATATACATTTTAAATCTTAGTTTCATCCAATTTAAGTTTAAAACTTCCAGTTGAATTAAAATAGGTCTGTTAGGCAGTAGTCTAAGAAGAAATACTCTCAAAGAGTTTTCCTCTGTGTCTGTCCCTGGATGGCTTCCGGATGTGCGAAGGTCAGGAATCTAGGTGTCTTCCTTTCTGGTGTCCCTGTCTCCACCTAGTGAGTGTGTACAGCTGTCCTCCTTACCCTCTGGCACTCTCTTCAGTCCATGCTTGAAATTGTGCGTATTTCCCAACTCTCTATATTCTTTTCCCTATACATACATCTCTATGATAAAATTTAAGGTTCAAGTTAAGCACAGTAAGATTAATAGCTGTAACTAATAAGAAAAGAGAACATTTATAATAATGTAGTATAATGGAAGTTATATTACTGTGGTATCTCTCAAAATTTCTTCAAATATCTTCATTACATTATTTGTGTGTGTGTACATGTTCACATGTGTGCATGTATATGAGCCTGTGCCCAAGATGTTGACATCACATGTCTTCCTCAACTGCTTCTCTACTGTAGGAATGACTTTCATAAAATGGACATAATCTGGACTAATGACTTTTTTTTTTTTTTTTTAGTTTTTTTGAGGCAGGGTCTCCCTGTAGCCCCAGCTGGCCCCAGGCTGCCTCTGCCTCTGCCTCCCAAGCACTGGGATTAAAGGTGTGTGCCACCATGCCTGCCTGGACTAATAACTTTTAATCAACCCCAGTAAAGTCATGTGCTCTTGTGTCTTCCCGACCTGAGCACCTGATCTCATTTCCTAGGTAACCTCAATTTGGTACTCCACCCCGAAAGATAATGAATGAATGAATGAATGTGGGCATGCTTTAGAATTAATGTATTAAAGCACTGAAAGGTGTCACACCCATTTCCTTTGGACACAGTGGAGACTGGGAAGGATGCAGGAGAGTATCTAGAACTAGGGATGAGAAGGCAGGATAGTCTGTTAAGATTAGGGTGGAACCAAGCTTCTACTTTCCCAATTGTGCTGGATAGCTTTAGTGTCAACTTGACACACCTGGGTTGAGGGAGCCTCAGTGGGGGAATTGCCTCTATTGGACTGGCCTGTGGCCATGTCTGAAGGGCATCTTCTTGATGAGTGATGTGGGAGGGCCCAGCTCACTGTGGGTGGTGCCACCCCTGGGCAGGTGGGCCTGTGTTGCATAAGAAAGCAGGCTGAGCAGGGGCCAAGGGAGCAAGCCTGTAAGCAGCGTTCCTCCATGGCCTGTGCTCCAGCTCCTGCCTCCAGGTTCCTGCCCTGAGTTCCTACCTTGGGCTCCCTGATGAACTGCGGGCAACCTGGGAGATGTAAGCTGAATAAACCCTTTCCTCCCCAAATTGGTACTGGTCAGAGTGTTTTGTCACAGCAATGAAGAACAAACTAAGACACCAATGAAGCTGGAGAAGCCATTTTGGATAAAATTTTGGGTGGGGCCAGGACTTTATTATTCATAGGAATAATAGACTTTTGTTTTCTCTTTTGAGACAGTGTCTCACCATGTAGCCCTGGCTGGCCTGGAACTCACAGAGATCTGCCTGCCTCTGCCTCCCAAGTGCTGGGATTAAAGGTGTGCGCCACTACATTGGCTAAATAATAAACTCTTATCAAAGCGAAAAAAAAAATGCACTGGACAAAAATAACCACGTAAGGAAGGCTATTCAAGGGCACTACCGTAGGGAAGAGGACGGAACAGAGTGATTCCAGTCCGATAAAGTGACGAGCAGGTTTTTTTTCTTCAGTTGGAGATTTTAATATATTTATTTGAAAAGCAAGTTCTGTGAAAGATCACATGAAATAGTCAAATATCTTCTTTTTGTCCAAAGACTGAGAAGCAGATTCTTGAGATCAGTGTGGAGGCAAAGATACGTGCACTGAGTGAGTTTCCTCATAGGCATTTTCTGCATGAGTCAGGATGGTCATCTTCAGGTGAGCAGATGGATCCATGGTCCTTAATCATCAATATACTCAAAAAATAGGGAATGCTTCCCGAATTTGCATGTCATCCTTGTGAGGAGCCATGCTAATCTTCTCTATATCGTTCCAATTTTAGTATATGTGCTGCCGAAGTGGGCACGGGAAGAGCAGTTTTAAAGGAAGAGGATGACCTAGAGGAAAAGGCCTGGAGGCTGTCCCTGGGGAACTCAATGGGAGAATGTGCTGGTATTATTTCCTGTGTTTTCAAATGTTTTTCTGCAATGAGGCTACTTTTGTGTACTAATTGATACTTATAAAACCCAGCTGCTACCCTCCAAGAAAGACTGGGAAAGGAGGCTGGAGAGATGGCTCAGAGGGTTAAAGCATTTGGTGCTCTTGTAGAGGACCTGGATTCAGCACACACAGGTGACTCACCATCAGTAACTCCAATTCCAGGGGATCTGATGCCCTTTTCTGGTTTCCACAGACACTGCATGCACATGGTGCAATTACATACACACAGGAAAACACTCATATACATAAAATAAAAATAAAATTAAGATACAATTATAAAATATAATTAAAATTGTAATTAAAATATAAAATAAAAAAATCAAAATTAAATTCTACAACTGTCAACTTCCTTAAAGACTGAGAGACAACATATTGTCATCTTTATTACATTTTATTTTCGCTTATTTTTTAAGTATTTTACTTATTATTTTTATGTTATGTGTATGTGTGTAAGGTCATTGTATTGCAATGACCTCAGAGGTCAGAAGTCATAGAATCCCCTGGAACTGGAGTTACAAATGGTTGTTAGCTACCATGTGGGTTCTGGGAATTGAACCTCAGTCTTCTGCAAGAATAGTCAGTACTCTTAACTGCTGAGATATCTCTCCAGCCTAAGTACTACATTTTAAAGGGATGATTCTTAGATTCTTCAGAAAGATAATTGTGAATTGTGAAAGTAGAGAGTGGCTTTAAAAATTTATACTTTCATATAGCAATTTTGTTTGTTTATCGAAGCAGGTTTTGCTATATAGCCTAAGCTGACCTCGAACTCATGATCCTCTTGCCTCTGCTTCCTAAGTGCTGGGTTATAGGCATGTACCAACATAGCAGGCATAGATGTACACATTTCAAAGAGGCTGAGAAAGAATTTACAATGACAGGTTTTCTAAAGAAAATGTTATAAAAAAGAAAGATTGGGGCCTAGAGGAAGGATAAATTTGCTTCAAGTTGAGTCAAACTAGGGGAAACATTAAAGCCATCTTTGACTAATGAATAAGTGGTTTCCAGTAGGGAATTCAGCATGAATATAGTGTTCTGTACTGCCACTAGATGTATTTCTTAGTGAAATGAAATATTTTTGAGCTAGTAATAGGAGAATGTAGTTAATATTTCTGTATTTTGGGGGAGAGAGAGTTGAGACAGGGTCTCCCTGTAGCCCCAGCTGGCCTGGAACTCTCTATGTAGACCAGGCTGGCCTTGAACTCACAGAGATCTGCCTGCCTCTGCTTCCTGAGTGCTGGGATTAATGGTGCCACTGTTCCCAGCTAATGTTTCTGGTTTTTGCTTTGTGGGTGGACTATTGGCAACAGCCAGCAGAAGAGGACAGTGTGGTTCCCATATGCAGACATCCTTTGGGGCCTGGGTATCAACAACAGGAAGGCCTTGACTGTGGGTCTACCCACTGGAGAGTGTCGATAGTGAGCGTTCTCCCAACAAGGATGTTGCTGTCCACCATATTTGTGTGGATTCGTATAATGTTCCACAAAATACGTCATAATTATGTGAACATTTTTTCTAAAAAAAGTCTCTATTACGGTTATTCCTGTACTTCCCTTGCAGCTGCATATTTTTACCCCATCATCCCTCTTGGCTTATAATTGTCCATAGATGTTCATCTCCATGAGGATAGAGACGTTTAAGAGGAAACTGCCCTGGGAGGCAGTGCACTTTGGACAGCTAGTGTGCCAAGCAGAACACAGCTGATGCTGGCATCATGGAGAAAAGAACAGAGAGCGAGAGGATGAATAGGAAATGGAAACGGAAGGGATTGGTTGGGTTAGGAAGACGCGGGCAGGATTTCATACCTGATAGAGGCAGCTGTGGGGCAGTGGGCGCAGTGCCGGGAGCTACTGGGAAAAGTTGGACGCTGTGAAGTTGAGAGAAACCTATCAGCGAGGGCGATGAAACCCTGTCTAAAATGACTGTGTGCATACAATTTAATGCAATTTAGGGCTATTTCTGGGACCTTTACCATTAAGCTCCCTCTTGACTCCATTATTCTAGTCAGAAAACAGATACTTGGCATTCCTAATGGAGTTTTATAGCGATGCATCTTTTTTTCAAAATGCTAGAATAGATTTTAGTCTTCATTTCCCCCTAATGCTAAGGCAGCAGAGGGCATAGCAGGACGGAGTATAAACTGACAGGTACGTTCAGTTATCCCCCAAATGTCGGTTCTAAACTCTCAGTTTGGGAAGTCCTTAGAAACTTACATTTTTTTCCCTATTTTTGTTTTTTAATGTGTATGAGTGTTATGACTGCATATAAGTGCACCCCTGTCGTGCAGTGCCTGTGGAGGACAGAAGAGGACATCAGATCCTCTGGAACTGGAGTTAAGGACAGGTGTGAGCTGCCGTGTGTGCTGGGATTCGAACCCAGGTCTTCTGCAGGAGCAGTCAGTGCTCTTAACTGCTGAACCATCTCTCCAGTCCCAAAACTTACACTTTTTAGTGTTCTTTATTAAATTCATCAACAGACAGCAAAAGGAGTTACTTCAGAAAAACCTTAGTGTAAAGAGATTTCAACTCCTAAGACTTAGGAACTTCTTCAAGGGAAACACTACATTGTTTCTCTATAGCTGAGCTGCAGAAAATAATCTCAAGCTCCTTTTTCGTAGGGTAGCACTGGGCAACACTTAGGGTAAATGAGGGCTCCTCATTTGAGAAGATGGTTCTAAATTTAATATTGTGACTTAGACCATAGGGCATCTGTTTAAACTGCTTTTCAAGCAGAAAGTGAGAGAAAGGAAATCAAACTTTGTATTTGATAAAAATTCTTATATATGGTCAAGCATAGTGGCATATGCTTTTACCCCAGGACTAGGGAGGCAGAGGCAGGCAGATCTCTGTGCTGTGAAGTCCAGCCTGCTCTACATAGCGAGTTCCAGGCTAGCTGGGGAGACAGAGAGACCCTGCCTCAACACAACACCCACCCCCAATCTTGTATAAGATGCAGAGATAATGGCGAAAACTGAGCAAGCCTGCGGTAAAGGCTCCGGGCCATCTTCTAATCCCTTCCATGGGAAAGGCTTCATAAACAGGCACCCTTGGGCCTCATGAGGTATCTGCCCTTCTTTCTCCTGCTTTGCCGCCTTTCATCAGCACTTTGCTGAGTGCTGAACTCCCATTAAGTCTACTTCATGTTCTGTGGCGTCCAGCTAGACTCCCCCTGCCCCCCCTTGAGTGTCTCCTAGACCCTGAAAATCTCTTAGTTGGTCCATTTACCTGTAGCTCTGCAAATCCGGTCCTATTCCCCAAACAATATCATTTGATATTTAAGAAGCAACCGGAATCCTTGGCTATTTTTACTTGCGATTTCAAGGCTTTCTCCTTTCCCCAAATCTCCTTGGGCTATAAATTAATCGGAGTAAAAACATGCTTTTAAGGGAAAGGGACTCAAAGCAGGACAAGGACCTGTTCTTTTTGAAATTGCATATAATTTAGCATGGTCTAACCTTTGAAGAGGAAACATGAGCGGCTCAGAGCAGCACAGTGGGATTTACGGAGGCTCGGTGTCTGAAAGCCTCATCTCTAAGAAGGCAGGTATTTGGTTTCAAATTATCAAAACAGCCTTGTACTCTTTTTTTTGGAGTTATTTTGACATCTAAATAATAGCTCCGGCGTTTTTCTCTGAGTGTAAATCAATAACATTGACTCTGTGCATTCTTTCCCCCTATTTCACTCATTTATAACCTTAGATCAAGTATTAATAATTAAGCCTTGGCTTAGGGTTGGTACTTTGGCACTTAGTGATGCTTGAGGCTCCTCCTTCTTCCCTCTACCAGTTGCCCAGCTCTTCCAGAATATTCTCTTCCTGAGACAAAGACACTTCAAAGGGAGAGCGGAGCGAGTGCTTGCCCCGGACATGTCTGTTTTCCTTTTTTTCTGTTTCTCAGTATCACAACCCGAACAGCTCCCTTCTGCTTTTCTATCAAGTCCTATCGAAGCAAGTCCTATCGTTAGTGGACCCTGATTTTTCCACCAGGTTTCTGAACACCTGCCTCAGATTTGGCTGGTGGTTGTTAAAACTGTGATTCTTGGGTCTCACTCCAGGCCCAAAGAATTAGACTCTCTGGGGACCAGGACCTGGAAGGCGCAATTTTAACAAAGACCTAGGGATGCTTACAGTGTCAGTGTGAGATGAGAAGCCTTTGCTTGCAGTGTCCTGATTTGCCATCCTCTAAGCATTCTGTTTACACTTGAGGTAGTCTCTTTTTTAAAATTTTATTTATTATTTTATGTGTATGAATGTATTGCCTGAATGTGTGTAAGTGTATCCATGTCGTGCAATGCCTGCAGAGGTCAGAAGAGGGTGTTGGATCCCTTGGAACTGGAGTTATGGATGGTGGTTAGCTGTCATGTGGGTGCTGGAACCCTGGTCCTCTGCAAGAGCAGTCAGTGCTCTTAACCGCTGAGCCACCTCTCCAACCCCTGACGTAGTCTCTTCTAATCCAACTGTTGCTGCTGTTTAAAAAATGCCTATGCATGGGGCTGAGGAGACAGTTCATGGGGGTAAAGTGCTTGCTGTGTAAGTGTGAGCACCTGAGTTCAGATCCCCAGAACATTTGTGAAGCTGGATGTGGTAGTTCACCTGGAATCCAGTGCACAACAAGATGAGAGGTAGAGACAGAATTGTGAGAGGCTTATGACCAGGTAACCTGGCATACTCAGTAGCCAACAAGAGACCCTGTCTCAAATAAGGTGGAAGGTGAGGGCCAACAGCCAAGTGTTCTACTGAGCATGTGGACCATGGCATGTGTGTGCCCCATTCCCACTCACACAAGAAAAAAAGAGAAAAAAATGCTTGCGTAAGCTCTAAAAGCCTCATACTTGTCTTAAAAACCTCTGGGAGAGACGGAGGATGGGG